AAGTGAAATACTGTTCAGAAGGAGGTATGTGGCAAAATTTCATGGACAAGAACACTATTTCATAATGAAATAATTATCCTTGACAGTAATAATTCATTATGAAATTGTTTCTGCAGACAATATTTTAAATGAAATTTTGTCCAACAGACAACAGTTCATGGGGACATTATTTTATGTTACATGTACTATAATTTTTAGTATTCAAGATACAAATGTATACGAAAAGGATGGGATACTGGATTTCCCAGCCCTACCATAAAAGGATTTGAATACCAGTTTTTGTGATCCAGTACAGGAGATCATAAGAAGAAACTGTAATATCTTTTTTAGACTTTTCTTAAAATAGAATCTATATAAACCTAATTGATGTTGACAGTTATTTCTCATTTGGCAGTCCACTGCAGTGATATCATGGTTACTACTGTACAAAAAACTTTCTTTAGCTAAAAAATGATAAGGGATGTGGGGTTGCTTTACTTTAGTTTACTACTAAACTAACAGAAATTATGTCATCATGGTATTGGGTCCGCTTGACCTGATTACATGTTCACCCTGTTTTCTTACGCCCTGAGTCCATTTGCACTGGGTTCGTTCGCCCTACTTTTAAAAAAAAATTAATATATTGATACTTAGGTTTATATATTTATATCATGTATATCATGTATATGAAAAATATTAAAGAAAATATATATTCCCGAAATTCATGAAAAAACATGGAATTATTTAGAAATTAATGGCTTGTTTTGGAGCATTCTTTACATTTGTTTTATTTAGAATTAATTTTAATGATTGTTGATTGTTATTTAGAATGCTGATTAGGTATAATTATGATGTCTTTAGGCTCACTTATTTTTGTATAATTTTCTTTGTTGGATCAATAATGAAAGTAACATTTTTAAGAAAAATAAACTAGTCAGCTTGTAATGTGTAAAAACAAGAAGGTAGGAATTGTAATCTTACATAAAAAGGATTTTTTTTTCGCACACAACTTGGCTTCTTTGATCTCAAGTTCGTTTTTGACACATATATTATATATGCTCTTTAAAATAATAGTGTAAAAAATTAAGGAAATAACTGGTGACTGTGATGCAAAGTTCGAATTGGATCTTGTTTATATATAATGATAACTGTTAATGGTTGTTTTGAAATTTTTAAAATGTATCAATAAAGATAAATACATGCAGATAACATGGTCTTCAGTTGTTTTATATTAAATACCTTGTATTCCTGGTACTCTACATTGCAGATTAAAGGAAAATAGTTATTTGGTAGCAGCAATACAACATAAATATTCGGCTAAATTTTCAACAAACTTTAACATACTCTTTTCAAATAATAAGCATTAATGACATTAGGCTCCCCTCTATGATATTCCCTGCTGCGGCCAGTGCTTCTACATGTAGCTACGTTTCTGTATATATATATGTCATAACTCGCTAGGATGCAGGTACAATGTATGTTACAAATATCATCGTTTTGCGCAGCTTACAATGCAGACTGTCATGTGTCGATGATGTGATAGGGTGTGTTGACTGTTGGTTTGAACACCGTCAGGTTCTACCATGTCCATATAATTATGACGTCTTGGAAGGCTATTTTTAATTTTTGCTTTGACGCCTTCCTGCGATGTAAGGCGTCAAAGAAAAAAAAATATAATAGCCTTTCAAGACGTCATAATTATTTGGACTAGTTCTACCAGAGGCAGAGACATAAATACTATTATTAGTATAACTGTGATATGATATATACATGTAATTCAGTATTATATTTCTCTGGTTCTACTGTTATAAAAATGTTTTTGAAACGGATATGATCATGACACAGATGATGCATCATGGTGACGAATCAGGGTCCATTCGCTCTATGATCTAGTCCAAATAATTATGACGTCTTGAAAGGCTATTTTAATTTTTTTCTGTGAGGCCCGTCTTGAAAGGCTATTTTTAATTTTTTTAGCTATTCTAATTTTTTTCTGTGACACCTTCCTAATTATTTGGACTACCTATCTGCCTATGATCACAGGAATCGGAAATTCTATCAATAAAATTCTGTAAATAATAAAGTCGAGAAGCTCTATTGATAGTCGACTTTATTATTTACAGAATTTTATTGATAGAATTTCCAATTCCTGTGCTAGCTATGATCTAGTCCAAATAATTATGACATCTTGAAAGGCTATTATATTTTTTTCTTTGACGCCTTACATCGACGTCATAACGCGGAACTCATATTTTCAGTTGGACTTTGAGAGGGAATTTACTGCTTTATAAAAACGTTTAGCTGATTTATCCCCAAGATGCTTCATTTTGGGAGTATAAAATATATTTTTGAACCAAACTCGGTAAAATTTGACGGACCTGAATTTCCGGATAATATAAAAAAAAAGGTTCTGGAAATTCGGGTCTGTCAAATTTTAACGAGTTTGGTGCAAAAATTATTTTATAATCTCCTAAAAAGAAATCAGATAAACGTTTTAAAACAAGAGGCTCTCAAGAGCCTGAATCGCTCACCTGAATTTCAGAGGAGAAGATTTTTAAATGTAAGCAAACTTGAACAAATTGTGTAAAATTGTCCTTAAAGGGCAATAACTCCTTAAGGGGTCAATTGACAATTTTGGTCATATTAACTTTTTTGTAGATCTTACTTTGCTGAACATTATTGCTGCTTACAGTTTATATATATCTATAATAATATTCAAAATAATAACAAAAAACTGCCAAATTTTGTTAAAACTACCAATTTGGTGGCAGCAACCCAACAATGGTTTGTTCGAATCGTCTGACAATTTCAGGGCCGATAGATCTTGACCAATTAAACAATTTTACCCCATGTCACATTTGCTCTAAAAGATTTAGTTTTTGAGATATAAGCCAAAAACTGCATTTGACCCTTATGTTCTATTTTTAGCCATGGCGGCCATGTTTGTCGATTGATACAAACTTCGGATACAATTTAAAAACAAGATACGCTAAGGAACATTTAGTTAAAGTTTGAAGGTATTTGGCCCAGTAGTTTCAGAGGAGAAGATTTTTAAATGTTAGCAAACTTGATGAACAAATTGTGTAAAATTGTCTTTAAAGAACAATAACTCCTTAAAGGGGTCAATTGACAATTATGGTCATATAAACTTTTTTGTAGATCTTACTTTGCTGAACATTATTGCTGCTTACAGTTTATATATATCTATAATAATATTCAAAATAATAACAAAAAACTGCAAAATTTTGTTAAAACTACCAATTCGGTGGCAGCAACCCAACAATGGGTTGTTTGATTCGTCTGAAAATTTAATAGCTGATAGATCTTGACCAACTGAACAATTTTACCCCAAGTCAGATTTGCTCTAAAAGCTTTAGTTTTTGAGATATAAGCCAAAAACTGCATTTGACCCTTATGTTCTATTTTTAGCCATGGCGGCCATGTTTGTCAAAACTTCGGATACAATTTATAAACTAGATACCCTAAGGAACATTTAGTTAAAGTTTGAAGGTATTTGGCCCAGTAGTTTCAGAGGAGAAGATTTTTGAAATAGTTTACGACGACAAAAAATTTAAATAGCCTTCCAAGACGTCATAATTATTTTAGGGGACGACCATTTGATATTCTGGGGGGGGCCAGGAGGATTTTGAAAATAAATAACTCAGCCTTGATAATCACAAAAATAAATGGTTTGTTCTGTGGTAGTTTGAAAATAAATAACCTGACTTGCAATGTATTAAAAATAAATAACTCGGCAGGTCTATTTGAGAGCATGAGATTGCACCAGATTCTTCATAAAATTCAACTTTTTTTTCAAAAAAAATCGGGAATCACTTCCCAAATCTGTGAATAATAAAAGTATAAATATTATTTAAAATACTTGAAATGTCTGAAAAATGGGTTTCATTTAACTTGAGGTATATTGTCTCAGGAACACTTAACTCACTTTTATTACATATGGCAGTAACTACATTCAGGCAAATGCCTCATGTAGGAAATTTCAAAACCAAAAGCTTGTCTTCATATCAAATTGTTTTCACGGCAAGTGTCTTGCAAGAAGCAAGTTCTGTTCTCCCTCAGACGTAGCTCCTGTTTTTTGGGGATCAATGTTTCTTATTTATTTGTCTTTTGTTCATTGATTGCCCTTCTGTATTCTGTTAGTGTTGCATTCCTTTTGTAATTTAGTAACTTTGTTATCAACTTGATCAAGAGTTTAAAAAAAAAACAGCAGCCACATACTTAACTATGTGAATTAAATTTTTGCTTTATCTTTGTCTTTTGATGTTGTTCCTAAAAACTTAAGTCTTACACTGAATCTATACATGTTGCTTTGAGACCAAAATATTGTCAAAAAATGATTAAAACAGAACTTTCATTTTCAGATTAAGAAAGGGTATGGGAAACACATTTTGCATCATTAGTTCTATAGCAACTTGGGGCCTTCAGCGGTTCCAAAACCCTTCAAATTTTTTTAGCCTCGCTCCGCTCGGCATAAATGATTTGCAATACTTTTAAAAGACACTAATTACAGCCAAAACTTTAATATCTTGTATGTATGCAATACATGTATATGCAGTTGGGAATTCAGAAGATTTATTTCTACAGATGATGATGATTAATTCTGATTAAATGGTACATAATGATTGGTCTATTCATGTATTATTTATAATAAAAAATGAATTTAAAAATTGTATGTTTTCAAATATTAAAAATATAGTTGTGAAAATAAATAATCAGTCCCTTGCTTTAATGAAAATGAAAAATCTTGCTTCAACAGTGCAGAAAATAGATAATCTGTCCTCTTAGTTTACAAAAATAAATAACCGATCAAAAGCAAATCCTCCTGCCCCCCCCCCCCCCCCCCCCCCCCCCCAGAATATCAAATGGTCGTCCCCTTAGCTATGATCATGTCCATGAGGCATGACACAGATGATGGCATCATGGTGACGAATCCAGATCCCTTCGCCCTAGTACCTGTTCGCCCTAATAACTGTTCACCCTGAGTCCGTTTGCCCTTATACCTGTTTGCCCTGTGTCTGTTCGCTCTAATTATCATTTCATTTTGTTCTCTTGTGTATAATGAGTAATAAGGTTACTGTTACTGTTACAGGTATTGTCAAATTTGATGACCGGGTACCAGTCTATTATTATTCCAATCGTAAAGTTCTACTCGGCCAGGCATAGCGAGAATGACCGAGTAGTTACGATTGCTTCGTTACTGCGTCGTTTTATATCTTTTAGCGTATTTGTATTGCTGATTCACATGTATACATGTGTATATAGTGAGTGATGTATCAGTCTCACTTTTAGCACACTATCAGTATGTTACAAGCACAATATCTTTATTAGAAGTAAGTGATTTGTATTCCAAAATTGCATTTGTAAAGTCAAGACGCTGGGTGTGACGGACTGGCGCTTGTCCAGTGATTCAGTTTCAGTTTTAATCTGTTCCACAGGTATTTGAAATTATTTTAACAAAACGTGTAAAGAACAATTATAATGTGTGTTATACAGGCTCCAAATGTCCTCCTTTATACGCCATAGCTCATGGCGGTGCTCCTTGTAAAGGACAATTAAAAATACGGAGACAAGAAGAATGTTACATTGTAAAGTCCAACTCATATTTTCGATTGGTCAAATAAATACCCTTGGTCAAATCTAAATATAGAAACGGTGTTTTCCATTTCGAGGTCAAAATGTCTACCGACATTGCCCGGAATGGGAACGTCGTAGAAATGCAGGCGGCTCAAAAACAGTGCAATGCATTTTCTTTAGACAATAATTTCAAATTAAAAAAAATGGCACTGCTCTATCTCAACAAGATTTTTACAGTGTAGTGTACGAATTTAATATGTGACAAATTATATCAAAATTATAGAAAAGTCTACCAGTACCATGCATCTCTTCTTCTTCTTTCAGTTTCTGGCAATCCTTCAATTATTGAAGATTATTTGCCGGGCGTTGACTTTAAATTTTTTTTATCATTTCTATAAACTCAGATATATATGGATAATTTTATGTTACAGGTTCTATTATTAAGATTGACAGTGTTAGACAGACTAATTTTTTATTTATTTGAATCATGTAATTTCACCCCCTTGTCCCTACTTAATATTCCATGCATAAAAATTGAAGCAATAAATTTGGAAAGTGAATCAAAAAAATTTGTTATAGAGTGGGGTGCTCATTTTCGCCATAATTTTTCCATGTTATCTGCAGTTTATGTTCAGACCTTTAAGTTTATGAAGTATACTGATATTTCTATATGAAGATAACATCAAAAGAAAAATATTCTTAGCTTGAAAACATGTTTCTCTGAAAAAATTCATCTGAAAAGTTAGATTAAAGGCTATTTGAAATTTCCTGATGTTTTGTCATAGGGGGACACATATTCGCCGATTTTACACATCTATTTAAAACCAAATAACTGCAGCTTTAGACAATATTTATCAGATCAATTTCACTATAGATGAATAGCAGACATTTCAAAGGTGTAAAGAACTGAAATTTAGGGCAATCAGTCAAAGAATTACTAAGAAATACTTCTTTGAATTTTTTTTTTCGTTCAGGAAATTGGCCGAAAATTGTTGTGTGTTTTTCGGTCCTTTGCGGTAAGTGCCTAAATCTTTTCTAAGTTTAAAAAATAATCATATTTGTTATAAAAATATAATTTACCGGCATATTTCTTCCATTTCAGCAATCATTTGAAGTTAAATCTACACATCAAAATCATAAAATCACGAAATTGTGTCCCCGGCGAATATGTGCGCCCCACTCTACACTGTGTCACTATCCACACTGGGGACTATATTTGTAGACAATGAAAATTTAAAGAACGATAACTGTGTCCTCGGACCTAATAGGATAGAAAGACTTGACCAATTCTTAGATGTGTCCTATTTTCAGTGCAAAATATAGTTAGCATGTATAATTTTTGTTTCAGAAAATTGTATCTAAATAAAGAAAACAATCATTTGTATTAAATTAAGCCTTTAAACTGAAACATTATATTCAATATTTATAATTTATCATTGTGTCCTTGTGTCCTGCTACAAAATGCATGCCAACTATTTTGTGCACTGAAACCTTGCCACTAATGCCAATTCTTGTAAAACTTGGCATCACCTAAGCTAATGGAAGATAGTTGACAAAGTTTCATGGCCATAGGATATCTATTATGGACACTATGGCCATTTTAATTTAATGAACTTTGGACGTTTATTATTTACGTTGAAAACAGCCTCCTCAAAGAATTGCATGCAGTCAAACCAATCTAGAACAAAAGGCAAATTATTCATACTAAATAATTTTGTTATACACATATGCACTCTTTCGATACCTTTTTTTTGGCATTGCACAAGGTCATGTTTTTCTCTGACTGTTAATGACGTCTTTACACAAAATCCATTGGATGTTGGATGTCTACTGATTGATATTTTAGTCTTAGATACATTAACTTTTTATATGAGTTTTTATTGGCTTTGAAGTAGCTGTCAGTAACTGCAAGTACTCTCAGATCTGTACTTGGTGTCCTATTTGTTGTTAGGGATGAGGGATAGATAAATACCCTGTCACGTCCAATCTGTGTTTATGTTTGATGTTTTCTTCTTTGTATCGATCTGCTAGGCCACTGTCATCAGGATAGAAAACAATACATAAAATCATGCTGATGTACAAAATCGGGTTGAGCAAATTTAAAACGTCACAATGTTGCTATGGTGAATAACTTTATAAATAGCGATTGAAAGAGAAAGTGAAAGTAAGTATATAATAATGGAAGTAAACTATTAAAATAAAATAAGATAAAAATACAATGTTTTTGTTGTTAAAATGTTTGTTAAAATTATTCTGCCATCGTGTGTTAGCACTCTTGCACAGTGGAACGAATCATACAATAAATTATTGTCAGTTGTGTCTGTGTAAACTTTTTGTACATCAGCATGATTTTATGTATTGTTTTCTATCCTGATGACTAGCCACCGAAACATGTCAATCTCAATAAATTACTGGAGCATTCCTTAAAGTGTTGTTGTTATAGGACCTTCTACATTTTATGTTTTTATCGTAACAACCCTGCATACCCGAGGTATCCACTTTATGGAATCTAATGACAGAAGATTTACCAGGCGTTGGTTCACTTGTGTTTAAATTTACTCAATTGAATTGTTTCATAATTTTCATGTCAGTGCCTTTTATAGCCGACTATACAGTATGGGTTTTTCTCATTGTTGAAGGCTGTACATCCACTTAATCTGAACTTTGGTGGATAGTTTTCTCATTGGCAATCATACCTCATCTCCTTATTTTTATATTGTGATAAACTTAAGCTTTAAATGATAATAATACATTTTGTACGTCCTTGCTATAACCATTTAAAAATTGTATACGGGTATATATATACCGGTATTCATTAGTATTTAAAATCTTGTTAAAATCTGTATTATTATATTTTTTGCAGACTTTTCCTTTTTTGTGGAAACTAAGATGCCAAAGAGAACAGAGGCAAATTTACCATGCGAGAGCTTACAGCTTTGACCAACCACAAGTTTTTGGAGATTCAACAAAGAAATTTGCATTCTTCTGAAGTTTTGGACTTACTCATAGTTAAACTTTCACATTTTGACTCAGCACACACTACCAAATCTCTCAGAGCTTTAATGTATCACAAAAACAGTAATTTTTATTCTTTATTTAAACATTTTCATAGATAACAACATTACAAAGTGCTTTCATCATAATTAACAGCTGACCATTGTTATATTTTGTACATACAGGAATTTAAGGAAGTAAAGTCTTATTTCCATGGTTGATTCATTGTCAGTATTAATTCATCTATAGTGAGGTCTGTTGTGCTGTTCTTTTTTTTTGAAATTCGTGTTATGTGTTTTGCCAATGTTGACATGATTTATGCTGTACATGCTTTGGAAGTATTGACCAAATGTATACTAGCTGTAAAGTCAGCAACCATAACTCAGAGCATTCCAAAGACTAATCTGTAGATCAACATTTTAAAGACTTATATGTACTTATACCATAAATATATATGCTCATTTTAATACTTGCTGAAGGATTGTGTTAATGAATTCATGATGAGGAAAACTTGTGTTGTATTTTGTTTATTTTTTTTGGTAAGTACAATTTCAGTTATGTTTTTTTTTTATATTTATAAATGCATTTTCTTTTTCAAGTTCAAAGAAATGATTAACAATTTAAATAAAATGCTTCGCTGGGGCGCAGCTTGATACGACCGCAGAGGCTGAACCCTGAACAGTTGGGGCAAGTATGGACACAACATTCAAGCTTGATACAGCTCTGAATTTGGATTGTTATTAAATATTTGACACAGCATAGGTTTCTGACACAGAAAGAATGTGGTCTAAGAACTTGAATTTTTTTAATTTACCTATTATGGTCCAATGTCCAAAATCAAAATACATGGTTAGATTCAGCATATCAAAGAACCCCATATATTCAATTTTTGTTAAAATCAAACAAAGTTTAATTTTGGACCCCAACTTGGACAAACTTGAAAACTGGGCCCATAATCAAAAATCTAAACACATGTTTAGATTCAGCATATCAAAGAACCCCAAGAATTCAATTTTTGTTAAAATCAAACTAAGTTTAATTTTGGACCCTTTGGACCTCAATGAAGACCAATTTAAAAAACGGGACCCAAATTAAAAATACGGTTAGATTTGGCATATCAAAGAACCCCAATAATTCAATTTTCGATGAAATCAAACAAAGTTTAATTTTGGACCCTTTTGACCTCAATATGAACCAATTTGATAGCGGGGCCTACAAATAAAAAATCTAAATACATGGTTAGATTCAGCATATCAAAGAACCTCATATATTCAATTTTTGTTGAAATCAAACAAAGTTTAATTTTGGACCCCAATTTGGACCAACTTGAAAACTGGGCCCATAATCAAAAATCTAAATACATGTTTAGATTCAGCATATCAAAGAACCCCATATATTCAATTTTTGTTGAAATCAAACAAAGTTTAAATACTGGACCCTATCTTGGACCAACTTGAAAACTGGGCCCATAATCAAAAATCTAAACACATGTTTAGATTCAGCAAATCAAAGAACCCCAAGAATTCAATTTTTGTCAAAATCAAACTAAGTTTAATTTTGGACCCTTTGTACCTCAATGTAGACCAATTTAAAAAACAGGACCCAAAATTAAAAACCTAAATACACGGTTAGATTTGGAATATCAAAGAACCCCAATAATTCAATTTTAGATGAAATCAAACAAAGTTTAATTTTGGACCCTTTTGACCTCAATATGAACCAAGTAGATAACGGGGTCCACAAATAAAAAATCTAAATACATGGTTAGATTCAGCATATCAAAGAACCCCATATATTCAATTTTTGTTGAAATCAAACAAAGTTTAATTTTGGACCCCAATTTGGACCAACTTGAAAACTGGGCCAAAAATCAAAAATCTAAATACATGTTTAGATTCAGCATATCAAAGAACCTCATATATTCAATTTTTGCTAAAATCAAACAAAGTTTAATTTTGGACCCTTTGGACATTAATGTAGACCAATTTGAAAACTGGACCCAAAATTAAAAATCTAAATACACTGTTAGATTCGGCATAACAAATAAATAAATGTGATCAAAGATTTTACAAATCTAATGCGCCATACTGTGCAATTAAAGATTACTTCTTGAAATTTTTCAATATTTGAATTTGAAAAAAAAATAATATTTGAAGAATAATTCTTTTTAATTTCTGAAATCTGAAAATGAGAAAAAATTGGCCCCCCACAATTTCTTTTTATCCCCCCCCCTTTTTCCCCCCAAAAAATTCTTTCCCTCAAGATATGGTCATAATCTCAATTCAAATTTCCAATGGAGTTGGCAACCATAATTACCCATTTAAATTTACCATAGTGCTAACTTAATCTATTTTATAATAGAATTAATAAAAATATAGTGTCAAATCTTTCATATGGATTTTTTTGTAAAAAAAAAAGATGAAAACATTTGCAGATATTTTTACTGGTCTTCCTTTATAAATATGCATTTCTTTAAACATAATTTAAAAGCAGTGTAAGGGAAGTAACCAAAACGTTGTATTTGGATTACCTCCCTTACACTGTTTTAGATTATCTTTATTGTTCATTAACCATTACTTTATACATAATTTAAAAGCAGTGTAAGGGAGATAATTTCAATGATGTATTTGATTTATCTCCCTTACACTGCTTTAAATTATGTTTTGTACTAAAGTATTTGTCCATTAACCAGGACAACCTTGTTTTTCCCCCTTTTTTGCCCCTAATTCCTAAACGGTTTGAGCCATAACCCCCCAAAGCAAATCCTAACCATCCCTTTGTGGTATGGAAACTTGTAGTATAATTTCAGAGAGATCCATACACCGTTCCACAGTTATTGTCTGGAAACTAGAAAATGCTCATTTTTGGCCCCTTTTTGGCCCCTAATTCCTTAACTGTTGGTACCATAACCCCCAAAATCAATCCCAACCTTCCTTTTGTGGTATTTAACCTTATGGTCAAATTTCAAAAAGATCCATTCACTTAAACTAAAGTTAGAGTGCGAAAACCAATATGTATTCGGACGACGACGTTGGACGACGACGACGACGACGCCAACGTCATACCAATATACGACCACAAAATTTTTTTGCGGTCGTATAAAAAGTAATACAAGGTAAGAACCCCCAAAAATTAAAGACTTTAAATTAATCCCATTGAAATTGGTTAAAAGATTTGTATTTATTTTCAATTGAAGATTTCTTGCTATTGCACAAACCGGTGCAATTGAAGATTTCTTCCTATTGCGCAATACTGTGCAATTGAAGATTTCTTGCTATTGCGCAATACTGTGTAATTGAAGATTTCTTGCTATTGCGCAATACTGTGCTATTGTGCAATACTGTGCTATTGAGCAATACTGTGCTATTGCGCAATACTGTGTTGTTGCGCAATACTGTGCAATTAAAGATTTCTTGCTATTGCGCAATACTGTGCAATTGAAGATTTCTTGCTATTGCGCAATATTGTGCAATTGAAGATTACAAAAACTTTGAAGAAAAAAAATATGAACCCCAAAAAATTGGAAGAAAAAAAATCCCCCCCCCAGTACAATTTTAGAGAGATCCATACACTTACATACAAGTTATTGTCTGGAAACTAGAAAAAATGCAATGAAGTTTATTAAACTAAAGTTATTAGCAAATTTCCAATGGAATTTATTAACAATAAAGTTTTTGGCAAATTTCCAATATACATAATTTAAAAGCAGTTTAGGTGAGATAAACAAAAACGCTTCATCAGCAACATTTTATATTGGCAAATTTCCAATGAAGTTCATTAAACTAAAGTTTTTGGCAAATTTCCAATGGAATTTATTAATAATAAAGTTTTTGGCAAATTTCCAATATACATAACTTAAAAGCAGTTTAGGTGAGATATTCAAATGAGTTTCAATTACCAACCTTACACTGCCTTTAAAATTATGTTTTGTACTTAGGTAATTGTCCATTAACCTGGAAACCCTTTTCCCCCCCTTTTTTGCACCTTATTCCTTAACGGTTTGAGCCATAACTCCAAAAGACAATTCTTACCATTCCTTTGTGGTATTCCAATATCCAAAATCTAAATACATGGTTAGATTCAGCATATCAAAGAACCCCAAGAATTCAATTTTTGATGAAATCAAATAAAGTTCAATTTTGGACCCTTTAAACCTCAATGTGGACCAATTTGATAAACGGGCCCAAATATCAAAAATCTAAATAGATGGTTAGATTCAGCATATCGAAGAACCCAATATATTCAATTTTTGTTGAAATCAAACAAAGTTTAATTTTGGACCCTGATTTGGACCAACTTGAATACTGGGCCCATAATCAAAAAACTAAGTTCATGTTTAGATTCAGCATATCAAAGAACCCCAAGAATTCAATTTTTGTTAAAATCAAACTAAATTTAATTTTGGACCCTTTGGACCTTAATGTAAACCAATTTGAAAACGGGACCAAAAATTAAGAATCTAAATACACGGTTAGATTAGGCAATTACCCCCAAAATCAATCCCAGCCTTCCCTTTGTGGTATGGTACCTTGCAGTACAATTTCAGAGAGATCCATACACTTGAACACAAGTTATTGTCTGGAAACTAGAAAAATGCTTATTTTTGCACCCTTTTTGGCCCCTTTTTCCTAAACGTTTAGGGCAATTACCCCCAAACTCAATTCCAGCTTTCCCTTTGTGATATGGAACCTTGTAGTACAATTTCAGAAAGATCCATACACTTACACACAAGTTATTGTCATGAAACTAGAAAAATGCTTGTTTTTTGCCCCTTTTTTGGCCCCTAATTCCTAATATTTTGAGGCAATTACCCCCAAAATCAATCCCAGCATTCCCTGTGTGATATGGAACCTTGTGGTACAATGTCAGAGAGATTCATACACTAACACACAAGTTATGTCTGGAAGTTACAAAAAATGCTTATTTTTGGCCCCTAATTCCTTAACTGTTGGTACCATAACCCCCAAAATCAATCCCCACCTTCCTTTTGTGGTATTGAACCTTATGGTAAAATTTCATAGAGATCCATTTACTTAAACTAAAGTTAGAGTGCGAAAACCAATGTGTCTTCGGACGACGCCGATGACGACGACGACGCCAACGTCATACCAATATACGACCGCAAAAAATTTTTGCGGTCGTATAAAAATTGGTTGACAAAGTAGCTTGACTTCCTGGATTCTCGATTCTATTTATTAAATATTGACTGAGCTTTTTAATGAGTTAACTTTTGGATTATCTTTTCTTCCAGTTACAAAAGGTGAATTAAGAGAATTTTTATACGACCGCAAAAATTAAAAAATTTTTGGTCGTAAATTGGTATGACGTTGGCGTCGTCGTCGTCCGAAGACACATTGGTTTTCGCACTCTAACTTTAGTTTAAGTGAATGGATCTCTATGAAATTTTACCATAAGGTTCAATACCACGAAAGGAAGGTTGGGATTGATTTTGGGGGTTATGGTACCAACAGTTAAGGAATTAGGGGCCAAAAAGGGGCCAAAAATAAGCATTTTTGTAACTTCCAGACAATAACTTGTGTGTAAGTGTATGGATCTCTCTGACATTGTACCACAAGGTTCCATATCACAAAGGGAAGGCTGTAATTGATTTTGGGGGTAATTGCATCAAAATTTTAGGAATTAGGGGCCAAAAAAGGGGCAAAAACAAGCATTTTTCTAGTTTCATGACAATAACTTGTGTGTAAGTGTTTGGATATTTCTGAAATTGTACTACACGGTTCCATATCACAAAGGGAAAGCTGGAATTGAGTTTGGGGGTAATTGCCCGAAACGTTTAGGAATTGGGGGCCAAAAAGGGGCCAAAAATAAGCATTTTTCTAGTTTCCAGACAATAACTTGTGTTCAAGTGTATGGATCTCTCTGAAATTGTACTGCAAGGTACCATACCACAAAGGGAAGGCTGGGATTGAGTTTGGGGGTGATGAATCATAAGGGGGTTCAAAAAATTTGGGGGGGGGGGTTTTCTTTTTTTTTCTTTTTTTCCTTTTTTTTTTTCTTTTAAAATTTTCCATTTTAAGTTGGTTATTTCTGATTTATATTTAAAAGCAAATAATATTGATATGGTAGGAGATACACACCAAACAGGATGTGTAAATTATTATATAATAAGTATTGTGCAATAGCAAGAAATTTTCAATTGCACAGTATTGCACAATAGCAAGAAATCTTCAATTGCACAGTATTGCGCAATAGCAAGAAATCTTCAATTGCACAGTATTGCGCAATAGCAAGAAATATCCAATAGCACAATATTGCGCAATAGCAAGAAATTGTCAATTGTACAGTATTGCGCAATAGCAAGAAATATTCAATTGCACAGTATTGTGCAAAAGAAGATACTTCGTATAAATTGCTTATTTCTTGATCAATTTCAATGGGGTTTTATTCTTGAATTCTTGGGGTTCTTTAATATGCTGAATCTAAAAGTGTATTAAGTTTTTGGATTTTGGGCCCCGTTTTTAAATTGGTCCACATTGAGGTCCAAAGGGTCCAAAATTTAACTTTGTTTGATTTCATCAAAAATTGAATTATTGGGGTTCTTTGATATGCAGAATCTAACCGTGTATTTAGATTCTTAATTTTTGGTTCTGTGTTCAAATTGGTCTACATTAAGGTCCAAAGGGTCCAAAATTAAACTTAGTTTGATTTTAACAAAAATTGAATTTTTAGGGTTCTTTGATATGCTGAATCTAAACATGTATTTAGATTTTTGATTATGGGCCCAGTTTTCAAGTTGGTCCAAATCGGGGTCCAAAAATTAACTTTGTTTGATTTCAACAAAAATTGAATATGTGGGGTTCTTTGATATGCTGAATCTAACCATGTATTTAGATTTTTGATTTTTGGGCCCCGTTATCAACTTTGTCTACATTGAGGTCAAAAGGGTCCAAATTAAACCAAAAGAGAGTGTATGGATCTCTCTGAAATTGTACTGCAAGGTACCATACCACAAAGGGAAGGCTGGGATTGAGTTTGGGGGTGATGAATCATAAGGGGGTTCAAAAAATTTGGGGGGGATTTTTTTTTTTCTTTTTTTTTCTTTTTTTCCTTTTTTTTTCTTTTAAAATTTTCCATTTTAAGTTGGTTATTTCTGATTTATATTTAAAAGCAAATAATAATGATATGGTAGGAGATACACACCAAACAGGATGTGTAAATTATTATATAATAAGTATTGTGCTAAGCATGAAATTTTCAATTGCACAGTATTGCACAATAGCAAGAAATCTTCAATTGCACAGTATTGCGCAATAGCAAGAAATCTTCAATTGCACAGTATTGCGCAATAGCAAGAAATATCCAATAGCACAATATTGCGCATCCAAAATTTAACTTTGTTTGATTTCATCAAAAATTGAATTATTGGGGTTCTTTGATATGCAGAATCTAACCGTGTATTTAGATTCTTAATTTTTGGTTCCGTTTTCAAATTGGTCTACATTAAGGTCCAAAGGGTCCAAAATTAAACTTAGTTTGATTTTAACAAAAATTGAATTTTTAGGGTTCTTTGATATGCTGAATCTAAACATGTATTTAGATTTTTGATTATGGGCCTAGTTTTCAAGTTGGTTCAAATCGGGGTCCAAAATTAAACTTTGTTTGATTTCAACAAAAATTGAATATATGGGGTTCTTTGATATGCTGAATCTAACCATGTATTTAGATTTTTGATTTTTGGGCCCCGTTATCAACTTTGTCCACATTGAGGTCAAAAGGGTCCAAATCAAACTTTTTTGTTTGATTTCATCAAAAATTGAATTCTTGGGGTTCTTTGATATGCTGAATCTAACCATGTATTTAGATTTTGGATATTGGACCATAATAGGTGAATGTCCAATTCAAAAATTTTGAGTTCTTAGACCACATTCATTCTGTGTCAAATTTTTAATCACAATCCAAATTCAGAGCTGTATCGAGCTTGAATGTTGTGTCCATACTTGCCCCAACTGTTCAGGGTTCAACCTCTGCAGTCGTATCAAGCTGCGCCCTGCGGAGCATTTTATTTAATTTTTTTGTAATTTTTCAATATGAATTATGTACATGATGTATGTACATATATTTTGAAATGATCTTCTTAAGATTTGAAATAAGCAGATGTGGTACGATTGCCAATGAGACAACTATCCACCAAAGGAGGAGGATGTGAACCCTATAGGGCATGGCATGACCCTCAACAATGAGCTAAATTCATATGGTATAGTAAGCTACATGTATAAAATGCCCAAGCATATCAAAATGTGAAATAATGGAACAATTCAAAAGAGAAAACCAATGGCCTGCTTTATCCTAAAAAAAGCAAACAAATGAAAAAAAATACATGTTAGGCAGATAGCTACCAACTACAACCACTGAATTATAGGCTTCTGACTTGGGACAGGTATCTAAAGAATGTGCCAGGGTTATTAAACATGTTTGTGACTATAAGAAATCTGAATGTACTACAGCAGCGTTTGATACTTATTGACTCAAGTTATTATAAATTCTTAAAAGTGCTCAACTCTCCCCAACCTTGGACAGTGGTGTAAAAGCACATCCTACAACATAAGAACAAACTTTAAAAACTTGGAAAAGGATTTACTCATCAGATTGGCAACAAGCACACAAAAGCCCCCAAAAATGATAAAAAAAGCCTCAAAGTATTGATCAGATCTTCATGTATGAGAAATCACAGTTAATGAAAGCTAGCTCAAAGTCAATTCTAACTAATAATTAAAAGATGCTTTCCTAGACTAGAATTTCAATCAGTATATTACATCCAATGGATTGAGTGTAAAGCTATATTAAGACATAAACAGCATGGTTTAAAAACTCATCAAAGAGACCAGTCTTCAAATTTTGTATGCCAGATGAGAGTTTATTCTAAACAAGACGCATCAGTGGCGCTCAAATTAAAACAGTTGGAAAGCCAAATCAAATACAAAGTTGTAGAGCTTTAAATACCGAAAAATTAAAGACTAGTTCACTTTCTTCGTCATTGTTCATGTGAGGCATACAGTACATGTATAAGACAACAGTAATTTGTACATTTTTTCGTTTCTGCGGCAATCATAGTCTAAGGGAATTAGATATGTGGTGGTTTTATTTAAAATAAAGTTAAAGAGACTTCTCTTGAACTGAATTTTAATGTGCGTATTGTTATGCGTTTACTTTTCTACATTGGCTAGAGGTATAGGGGGAGGGTTGAGATCTCATAAACATGTTTAACCCCGCCGCATTTTTGCACCTGTCCCAAGTCAGGAGCCTCTAGCCTTTGTTAGTCTTGTATTATTTTTAATTTTAGTTTCTTGTGTACAATTTGAAGTTTAGTATGGCGTTCATTATCACTGAACTAGTATATATATTTGTTTAGGGGCCAGCTGAAGGACGCCTCCGGGTGCGGGAATTTCTGGCTGCATTGAAGACCTGTTGGTGACCTTCTGCTGTTGTCTGTTCTATGGTCGGGTTGTTGTCTCTTTGACACATTCCCCATTTCCATTCTCAATTTTATTATAAAGTTTTAAATCTTAACCGTTTAATCGTGATCATGTTTTGGTAATTAAATTTTACATACATGAACAATATGTTATTTTCAGGTTTTGAGTGTTTCCAGTGAAAAAAGAAGCAGAATAAGGTTCTATCCAGACATGCCAGATGATACAAATACTTCATGTCTTGGAATTGTATGTCCTAGAAGTAAGCATAAATTTCAACACAATACACATATCTTTTAGATAAAATACTTTTCTCAAGCACAACAGAATAGAATGACTTCATATTTGGTCAGCACCTTGACACTGATGAGCTGTAACTAACATAAAAAAACACTCGTTGAATCTGTTGACACCTACTTTGCCAATACTTTGTATTATTCAATATGTTTGATGAAAATATTAACACATATTTCCATTTCACTTTTCTCAAGAACTGCTGAACAGATGGGATGCTTGTAAGTGAGTTTTTTTTTGTCTTGCCAAGAGAGTATCTAAGTTTTCCTTGGGAAGCAACTTTACCCTTAGGGAACACATGATACCTTTGGAAGAATACAACTCCTTACTACAGTCTATGGGAGGCCATTGAGGTCAAAAATGGTAAAAATTCTGAACTTTTGAGTGAACATGGTCTTCAAACTGGAAGAAGCCAATTCATTGCCCACATCTTCCGAAAACACTTACAGAAGACAGTATTTCTGAATGTTTAGAACCTTTCTGGACTTCTCGCTTCCGTGTTCCTTGAATTACGTGTGTGAGTGCAAAAAGTTCAGTCCATATACCCCATTAAAAATGACATTTTTGGAACCCCACATGTCTATTTTTCATTCAGTCATTTAATTATGCTGAATGCAGTAGAAAAATAGCTTAAGTATGCAGAAGTATGTTCTCTGAAATATTTGGTGACAAACCTCCCTTTGAAACTATAAAACACCATGGGAGGCCAAAAACCAAAAATGGCACCTAACCCGTCAAATTGTGGTACCAACATGGTAAGGGTTGATAAATTCCTGAAATATTTTGTTTCCTGTCTGTTTATTAGAAATTTTAGCTTATAAATGTATTTTCAGATTTTATATTTGTACCCTGTACACTTGGTGATGGTAGAAAGGACACATGTGTTGAATGTCCATTAGATAGGCCAATCTCAGTAGAGAAATTTGATTCAGCATTTTTTTCTGAACCACCTGATAATATTTGTAAAGATCCAGATGAAATATGTGTATGTACTGAAGGTATGTATCAAAACATGTAGATGTTATTTAATGAAGAACCAACTGATTTGACTTGGACTTTGTTTAACATTATAGAAGTTTAATATCTTCACAGACAGTGATAAATGTTTTAGACAAAACTTCTTTAAGTAATTCAGTTCTCTAGACTATACATGGATATCCATCATGTCCATGCAGTTTGATTATACCGAAAAATAAGTTAATTTGACAAACCAGGAGTTAGAAATAAAGTAGTGAGTCACAGTGAAGGTTTAATTGCAGAAATTAGAATATCAACTTTGTTTGATAACTTCATCTACATTACTTTCTTACATAATAGCAAATGTAATAATATTGGCCAATCTTAATATGATTATTGGTAGGTTACTGTGGCATATTTTGATGGACCAGTCTAATAGATGAGACCTGGCTATTTTAGTAGAATTATAAAAAAAAATATAAAATCAATATCATCTTAATTTTATCAATATTTAATTTGAACAAATGTAATTTCAGGAAAATTAAAAGTACATATTATACGCATTTAACCCTAATATTTATTTCTGAGTTCTCTCTGCATGTTAAGTCACTAATTGTATTGAGGAAAGAATTTTTTGTGTGTGTAAAAATATACTGTGTCAGTATCAGTGAATCTCATATTCTCTATGGCATAGCAGCTTCAATATATTGAGGAAATTTTAAGTAGAATTTTCAAGCAAGCACTTAATTGGACAATTCAAATTTTGATGGTCACTAACTTGAAGTTTGTCAAAAAAAGATAACTGAAAACCTTGCAACAAAACTCACATGCTAAGAAAAATAAATGTTATAACATTGTTTTATGCTGTACATGTTAAAGTGAATAAATACTTTGAAGGATTTGAAAGCTAAAATATACAATACATTTTTTGTTCCTTTTGTTATATTTTTTATAAGTACCAAAAAAGAGAAGATTTTTCAGAGATGTTTTAATTTGCAACATGATTTGAAATTGCATTTAAGATTTATGAATCTCACATTAGGAACGGTAGTCAGGGATTCATACTATTAAATGCAAACATTTAGTTATGTATACCGGAATATATATTCTTTTAAACCAATTTTCAGAAGCCAAACTTATGAATCCAAAAGAATGTTTAAATAACCTAAATCCAGAATGTCAGTGTGATGTATCGAGAGGTTACATTGGTAGTGATCCAAAGCTGTGTAAATTGTCGGAAAACCCTTGCTCTTCAACTGGATTTGAACTTGTATTGAATGGTAAGATACATAACTCAAAATTCTATTTATCTCTTCTTTCTGATCATACTTAAATGGATGTTAAATGGCTGTTTAATGTCCAGTGGAAAACAAAATGCATATTCATGACGAGAACATATTAATGCGACATGAGCATGAACCCTACTTTGTAGTTGACTGAGACGCTGAGCAAGAGTTTTAACAGGCCAGGTCACAAGGTAAAACACTGCAGGAAAGAATGTCACCCTAAATAGACTCATTATTCTGACTTTGAGCAGACCAGTCATTGCTCTTGCTCCGTAATGCCGCATACTTAGAGGAGAGGCAGAAAATACCAATTTTACAGTCTTTGGGTTAAAACCCACAATCTCCCACATTCGAGGCGAACACACTACTAAGAGACAAAAGAGACTAATATTGATCATATTTAGAAAAAAGCATATATAATTACATAATAATTGCTCTTAAAAAAGCTTTTTAATGGGTTTGATGAACACTTACAAGAACATTTTAAAAAAGGCACAGGTTTGTGCCATTGGAAAATCAGTAAAACGTTAAAATTTCAAATTATTTAAAAAATGTTAAAGGGAGAGAAAAATGATAAATTACAAATATGCTGAAAATTTGATGATCAAACTACAAATTTTGTACAGATTTTTTTTGCTCTAAGTGTTAACAAGTAAACTGACTCAATACTATAAATATCTGGCACAGATCAAAGAGTTATGATTGTTCAGATTAACATAACATGCGGCATGACTAGGCAAACTATAGATGAATTTATTGTTTAAAATAGTCTTCTTCAAACATATTGTAGTACATATTTGTCTGAAATTCACATTGACTTATTATATATACATTTATATATTGCAATTTTATTTTTGGGTCTCCCACAAAGAAATCTGTGTAAAGCAAACTTTGGCCAACTCTAGATCTTTTCCAATGCTGTCTTCATCTTCTGAATGTTAAAATTTCTGATTTAGTTTCAGAATAGGTATTTTTAATGTTATTATGCTGTTGTGTCAGAATGCTTTCATAGTTTTCTTGCAAATATTTTTTTTTTAACAAAACATAGCACTTTTAAGAATTATCTGTATACTAATTGCATTACATCCAGGTGGGTTGCAATGTAGTATATGTATTTCACCTGTTGAAAGTAGTAGGAGATGTTATATATGCATTCATAATTCACAGATTAAGACTTTTGTAAATTTCTGTTTATAGCTAAATCTCATTTTTGTCTCGCCTTGACAGAGTCAAAAAGCGAGACATAGGTATGCTGTTTCCGGCGACGGCGGCGGCGGCGACAGCGGTGTCAACAATGTATTAGTTTGTGATTAGGTCTAGTTCATGAGGAACCACTAGTGGTAGGTCAATGATATTTGGTATGCAGTTGTATTAGCATTGGCACATCTCATTACCATGGAGATTATTTGGCCCCGCCCCCTCAGTCAAGGTCTATTGACTTTGAAACTTTTCATAGGTTACATGTATTAGTTTGTGATTAGGTCAATTTATGGGGAACCACTAGTGGTAGATCAATGATATTTGATATGCAGTTGTATAAGCATTGGCATATCTCATTTCCATGGAGATTATTTGGCTCCACCCCCTTAGTCATGGTCTATAGACTTTGAAAATTTTGCTAAGTTAGCATGTATTAGTTTGTGATTAGGTCAGTTCAAGGGGAACCATTAGTGATAGGCCAATGTTAATTGGTGTTCAGTTGTATAAGCATTAGCACATCTCATTTCCATTGAGAATATTTGGCCCCGCCCCCTCTGTCATGGTCTACTGACTTTGAAACTTTTGCTTAGTTTACATGTATTGGTTTGTGATTAGATCAGTTTAAGATGAACTGCTAATGTTAAGTCAATGATATTTGATATGCAAATGTATTGGCATTTGCAAGTTTTGTTTCCATGGAAATTATATAGCCCCATCCCTGATCATGGTTCATTGACTTAAACTTTTACACGCTTACAAGTTAATGTTTGTGTTTAGGTTTGTTTAAAGGGAACGACTTATGATAAGTCAATGGTATTTGGTATGCAGTTGTATTAGCATTGGCACATATCATTCCATGGAGTTTGTTTAGCCATGTACCTTCAGTCATGGTTCATCGACTTTGAATATTTGCATAACTTACATGTTAAAGTATTGCTATTTTAATTTCAACATTTGCATTATCAAAATTACAAGAAGGCGAGACATATCTCTGTGATAACAGTTTATTTAATCATATGTAATTTGAAGCAAGTTATTAGTCCCCTACCGACGAAGTCGAAGGGGACTTAAGGTTTGCACTCCGTCCGTCTGTCTGTCCATCTGTCAGTCCAGCAAATCAGTTTTCCAGACTTTTTTTCTTCGTGGTTGAAGATATTGATTTGATATTTGGTTTGTTGTTTTATCATGACAAGTTACAGGTCAAGTTCAATTTTCACGATTTTAGCTTTTCACTTTGTTTAGCCCTTTCCCTAGAATTATACTTATTAATTAGAAGATTTATGTTCAAAGGGAAATAACTCATTTTTTAAACAAATTTTAAAAGACAAAATGACATTTTGGATGTTTTTCCATTTCTTTGGTAAATTGTTTGAAGAATTTAGTGGTAGGTTTGTATTTCATTCTTAAAGATATTGATTTGATAATTAGTATATAGTTTTATCATGACAAGTCACAGATCAAGTTGAAATTTTGTTCCGGTCTGATGACTTTGTGCAGAGTTATGGTCGTTGGACATTGAAAATTCACTTAAATAATCAGTTTTCAACAGTTTTTTTCATCATGCTTGAAGATTTTGACTTGATATTTTTATGTAGTTTACACCATGACAAGTTATAGATCAAGTTAGAATTCCATTACAATGATCTGTCCCCTCAGTCATGATCTATTGACTTTGAAACCTTTGCGTGGTAGGCCAATGTTAATTAGGGCCCAGCCTAGTGGCTGGTTGCCCTATAGTGATCAGTCTGTCCGTCTGTAACAAATTGTGTCCGTTCTATATCTAGAGAACTGTTATAATTTCATACTTTATACTTGACATGTATATTAACCAACACCAGAGGGTGTGTCATAATGTCAAGTATAACTTCCTAGGACAAGGTTAAATGTCAGCGGGGCCCACAGAGATGGCTCTCATCTCAATGATGTCTAGTTGGTATGGAGTTGTATAAGCATTGGCACATCTCATTTCCATGGAGAATATGTGGCCTCGCCCCCTCAGTCATGGTCTATTGACTTTGAAACTTTTGCTTAGTTTACATTTATTACTTTGTGATAAGATCAGTTTAAGATGAACTTCTAATGTTAAGTCAATGATATTTGGTAATGTTAAGTCAATGATATTTGGTATGCAAATTTATTGGGATTTGCAAGTCTGGTTTCCATAGAGATTATATAGCCCAACCCCCTCATCATGGTTCAACGACTTTGAAACTTTTACATAGTTTACAGGTTAATAATGTTTATGTTTAGGTTTGTTTAAAGGGAACGACTTATGATTAGTCAATGGTATTTGGTATGCAGTTGTATTAGCATTGGCACATCTCATTTCCATGGAGATTGTTTAGCCATGTACCTTTAGTCATGTTAGTCAAGGTTCATTGACTACGAATATTTGCATACATGTTAAAGTATTGCTATTTTAATTTCAACATTTGCATTATCAAAATTACAAAAAGGCGAGACATATCTCTGTGTTAACAGTTTATTGATGTTATGATCATTTCTCAAAGTCAATTTTATTCTAATCAATTCCTGTGAAGTGTGTTATGTTTTTTTCAAATCAATATCTAATTAAGCATCTAACGAATTTTTGATTCATACCTAAAAATGATCAAACAAGGTTGTTATTTGTAGGAAAAGAAAGTTAGAAAAAATATTATAAAATATCACAGATATTTGTTGTTTATTGAGATGCATTTAATCTTTAATTATGATATTATATGACCAATAGTTTTAGTGGCCATAGACCTATGAAAGCTTTTGAAGCCCAACAACAAAAAAGGCTGAAATATAGCATTTTAAGAATAATAATTTTAAATGTCAAGTGAATATCTTAATATATTAGCATTGAGAATTTCAGCAGAGCAAATTTGCAGACCCTTTACAATCTTTTTCCTTATCCTTAAATGAAATATTTAAATCGTAAAAAACTTATTTTAGGTAGCTGTTTAAAGTGTTCAGATGATAAGTACAAAGACCAGATTGGATATGGGAAATGTGAACAACAGCCCAAGTAAGTAAACATTTGGTTTTCGTATGTCAGAGATGCTTTGTTTGTATGTCATATAAAGAGACTTTGTGAAATATCTAATTACAACCCAAATGGGCCAAAACTAGAGTTTGGTGAAAATTTACAAAATCATCTTGATTTCAACCAAGTATAGGCCTAGGAAACAAAGAGTGCAGGCTTTGACAACCTAAATATTTAAGTCAGTTATGTAAAATGTTATAACAAACATTATATTAAAACATCTTTTTTGTTGACGCATGCTGTGTTTCCACTCCAAAAAATCTGCCTAAATTTACCCATTTTCATTGATTTTTGGTTGAAAATCAAAACATTTGTTTTGTCATAAAAAGAAGGGTAATATGTAAATTTTTTGAACTAGTCATTGTTTTACCTATGTATCATTGTGATATTGGTCAATAAATCCTTATTTGAATTTAAAGCTAGAAATGGGGATCATTTTGAGGCCTAATAGAATTTACTCTTTTTTCAATGACATTTTTGATTTCATTGATTTAAAAAAAATTGTACCATAGGAGAGTTTAACTTTTTAGAATAGAATTTACTCCTTTTTCAATTATATTTTTCGATTTCATTGCAGGGGTTAAAAAATTTTGTTACAAGTAACTAGCCCAGGATTTATTTGCAGCAGGATTTTACTAGCCCTGTTGGAAGAACTGCTAGTCCATCAAAACTGACCTGCTAGCCCGAGAATGCCTTACAAATCAGAGTTTGCTGCATAATTACAAAGTGGGTGTCCCTTGTTCTGAAGGCAGCATTATACACTGTATTTAATAATTTTTGTTGACCTGCTTTTTATTCTGTTGGTAAACAAACATGACAAACAGTGGTGCTTATCCTAACTTAGTTCTTCCCCCATACACAGACTTTTTATTGGCGTGCTCGGGAAAATAATGGCAATATTCTCTTTTTTTTCATCAGCAACACGGCCGACCTTGCCCAGGGGAATCTTTCTTTCCGGGATACTATATATTCCACTTTTTCCGGTCGTATTTGGCATTTTTGGGTGATGAATTGTCAGTCTCATTACCCCTCAGTTTCATCTACAGTTTTTCGTTTTAAAACTGACGAAGTTCCTGAGGTGCCCGTACTAAAATGTTTAGAAATATTTGGTTGCATGGATTACATCAACAGTACGCACTGTATTGCCCCACCCCTTGTACTGTTGTACTGAGAAATCGATACTTAAAGTACGAGAATTGGGATCAATACATGAAACCGGGCCCCCAGAGTTATTTGTTCTATTTTTAAAATATGTATAACAGGATCTGTACAAACCAGTTCAAATTCTTGGAATCTCGGATGACGTAATTGAATCTGATTGGCTAAGATAGAATAGTGATGAAGGGATTTTCCACTTTCTATTTTGGAAACGCCAAGAATTTTTTGTTACTAGTCCGTCTGGCATATTGGGTTAAAACATTTGATTGCCCGAGGCGTAAATGCTCAAGTCCCGGACGTCGGGTTAGTGGATTTTTTAACCCCTGCATTGATTTAAAAAAAAAATAGCACCATAGGAGAATTTTACTTATTATTTTTTTAAGTCCATAACAATTTCACAGTTTGTGTCATTGTCATCTTTATTATTTTTAACAATTTGAAAACTTGATCAGATATATAATCTAATCTCTTAGATTGATCATTCAGATCTGGATTACAAAAATGGTTGGTATGGATTTTTATAATTATTTGCACAATAGATTTAGATTAAATGACCAAAAGTAACATTCAAAATATGTTGAAAATTATAAAATTACTTGAAATCACTAGTTTGACACTTTGAAAGTCAGAAACATGCACATGAGTCACCTTTTATGTACTGTCTAATTGTCTAAACTTTATATCTCAGTAGTGCATTCACTCTGCATGTAAACCCATGTATTTGGTTGTCACAACATGTAATTAATCCCGCCACATTCTTTATATGCCTGTCACAAGTCAGGCTCTGTAGTTTAGTGGCTGTTGTTGGTTCATATCTGTTATATTTGTTTTTATGCCCCCGCCGAAGCGGAGGGGGCATAAAGTTTTACCCTTGTCCGTCTGTCCGTACGTACAAACATACGTCCGTACGTCCCAAAATTGGTTTCTGTTCTCTAACTTTAGTTTGCCTCAACCATGTCAACCAAATGTTATCAAACTTATATACAATGCTTATTACCACAAAACACAGATCAAGTTTGAATATTGGTGGCGTCACTTTAACCGTTCTAGAGTTATGCCCCTTGTCCATGATTATAGTTAAATCAACTACAATCAATGCTTTATACAATGCAATGTTTAATTTTGCCTTCCACTGATAAAACACAGATCAAGTTGAATTTGGGTAGTGTCAGTTTAAACATTATTGAGTTATGCCCCTTTATAAATCGAAAAATTGCAAAATTTTGAGTTTCCGTTCTGTAACTTAAGTTTGCCCCAACCTAAAATGAAACCTATACACAATATTTATTACCACAAAACTAAGATCAAGTACAAATTTTGGTAGCGTCACTTTTATTGTTCTTGAGTTATGTCCCTTTATAATGTTGTATACATGCGCGGGGGCATCATCTGTGTCCATGGGGACACATTCTCCATTTATTTGTAAATTGTTTTGTTATAGATAGGCAGGTAGTTTTCTCGTTTTAATTTTTTCCCATTTTTCATGTTGAGGCCTTTTATAGCCGACTATACGGTATGGTTTTTATAAACCGCAAACAATTTTGCGGTTGTATATTGGTATCACGTCGTCGTCATCGTCGTCCGAAGACATTTGGTTTCCAGACAATAACTTTAGTAAATGTAAAGAAATCTATGAAATTTAAACACAAGGTTTATAACCACAAAAGGAGGATTTGGATTGATTTTGGGGGTTATAGTCCTAACAGTTTAGGAATTAGGGGCCAAAAAGGGGCCCAAATAAGCGTTTTTCTAGTTTCCAGACAATAACTTGTTGAACGGTTTATGGATCTCTCTGAAATTATACCACAAGTTTCCATACCACAAAGGGATGGTTAGGATTGGCTTTGGGGGGGGGGGGTTATGGCTCAAAACTTTTAGGAATTAGGGGCAAAAAGGGGGGAAAACAAGGGTTTCCTGGTTAATGGAAAATTGAAAAAAAGTACAATGTTATGTTTGGATATCCTCCTTTACACTGCTTTTAAATTATGTATAAAGAAATGTATTGTCTTGAGGTGATTAGCTGTCAATTTATTTTTAGAAGTTACTATTTGAAAATGCTGATTAAGGAATATTTATTATATTAATTTTAGCCATGATTATGTATTTCATTTTCTATTTTAAGCCTTTTATGATATATTTAAATGGGTAATTATGGTTGCAAACTCCATTGGAAATTTGAATTGAGATTATGACCATATCTTGAGGCAAAGAATTTTTTTTTTTTGGAAAAGGGGGGGGGGGGGGAATTGGGGGGAGGGGGGAGAAAAAAGAAATTGTGAGGGGGGACTTTTTTTTTCTCATTTCAGATTTCAGAAATTAAAAAAATTGAATATAAATCCAAATCATATAACCAATTCTAAGTTCTTTGACTACAGGTATTATGTTTCAGAAACCTATTATGTGTCAAATATTAAATTACAATCCAAATTCAGACCCGTATCAAACTAATATTGTGTCCATTTTTGCCCCAACTGTTCAGGGTTGGACCTCTGCGGTCGTAACCAGCAGTGCTCGGCGAAGCAATTTATTAATGTTTGGGGTAACACTACGAATTCAACCAATCAGATTTGGACCATATGTAAATATGAGTTTTTATAAGACCGCAAAAATTAAAAATTTTTTGGTCGTATATTGGTATGACGTTGGCGTCGTCGTCGTCGTCGTCGTCGTCTGGCGTCGTCCGGCGTCGTCCGAAGACACATTGGTTTTCGCACTCTAACTTTAGTTTAAGTGAATGGATCTCCATGAAATTTCACCATAAGGTTCAATACCACGAAAGGAAGGTTGGGATTGATTTTGGGGGTTATGGTACCAACAGTTAAGGAATTAGGGGCCAAAATTAAGCATTTTTGTAACTTTCAGACAATAACTTGTGTGTAAGTGTATGGATCTCTCTGACATTGTACCACAAGGTTCCATATCACAAAGGGAAGGCTGTAATTGATTTTGGGGGTAATTTCCTCAAAATTTTAGGAATTAGGGGCCAAAAAAGGGGCAAAAAACAAGCATTTTTCTAGTTTTATGACAATAACTTGTGTGTAAGTGTTTGGATATTTCTGAAATTGTACTACAAGGTTCCATATCACAAAGGGAAAGCTGGAATTGAGTTTGGGGGTAATTGCCTGAAACTTTTAGGAATTGGGGGCCAAAAAGGGGCCAAAAATAAGCATTTTTCTAGTTTCCAGACAATAACTTGTGTTCAAGTGTATGGATCTCTCTGAAATTGTACTGCAAGGTACCATACCACAAAGGGAAGGCTGGGATTGAGTTTGGGGGTGATGAATCATAAGGGGGTTCAAAAAATTTGGGGGGGGGGATTTTTTTTTTTTTCTTTTTCTTTTTTTCCTTTTTTTTTCTTTTAAAATTTTCCATTTTAAGTTGGTTATTTCTGATTTATATTTAAAAGCAAATAATAATGATATGGTAGGAGATACACACCAAACAGGATGTGTAAATTATTATATAATAAGTATTGTGCAATAGCAAGAAATTTTCAATTGCACAGTATTGCACAATAGCAAGAAATCTTCAATTGCACAGTATTGCGCAATAGCAAGAAATCTTCAATTGCACAGTATTGCGCAATAGCAAGAAATATCCAATAGCACAATATTGCGCAATAGCAAGAAATTGTCAATTGTACAGTATTGCGCAATAGCAAGAAATATTCAATTGCACAGTATTGTGCAAAAGAAGATACTTCGTATAAATTGCTTATTTCTTGATCAATTTCAATGGGGTTTTATTCTTGAATTCTTGGGGTTCTTTAATATGCTGAATCTAACCGTGTATTTAGATTTTTAATTTTGGGTCCCGTTTTTTAAATTGGTCTACATTAAGGTCCAAAGGGTCCAAAATTAAACTTAGTTTGATTTTAACAAAAATTGAATTCTTGGGGTTCTTTGATATGCTGAATCTAAACATGTGTTTAGATTTTTGATTATGGGCCCAGTTTTCAAGTTGGTCCAAGTTGGGTCCTAAATTAAACTTTGTTTGATTTCAACAAAAATTGAATATATGGGGTTCTTTGATATGCTGAATCTAAACATGTATTTAGATTTTAGATTTTTGGCCCAGTTTTCAAGTTGGTCCAAATTGGGGTCCAAAATTAAACTTTGTTTGATTTCAACAAAAATTGAATATATGGGGTTCTTTGATATGCTGAATCTTACCATGTATTTAGATTTTTTATTTGTGGGCCCGCTATCAAATTGGTTCATATTGAGGTCAAAAGGGTCCAAAATTAAACTTTGTTTGATTTCATCAAAAATTGAATTATTGGGGTTCTTTGATATGCCAAATCTAACCGTGTATTTAGATTTTTAATTTTGGGTCCTGTTTTTTAAATTGGTCTACATTAAGGTCCAAAGGGTCCAAAATTAAACTTAGTTTGATTTTAACTAAAATTGAATTTTTGGGGTTCTTTGATATGCTGAATCTAAACATGTGTTTAGATTTTTGATTATGGGACCAGTTTTCAAGTTGGTCCAAGTTGGGGTCCAAAATTAAACTTTGTTTGATTTCAACAAAAATTGAATATATGGGGTTCTTTGATATGCTGAATCTAAACATGTATTTAGATTTTAGATTTTTGGCCCCGTTTTCAAGTTGGTCCAAATTGGGGTCCAAAATTAAACTTTGTTTGATTTCAACAAAAATTGAATATATGGGGTTCTTTGATATGCTGAATCTTACCATGTATTTAGATTTTTTATTTGTGGGCCCGCTATCAAATTGGTTCATATTGAGGTCAAAAGGGTCCAAAACTAAACTTTGTTTGATTTCATCAAAAATTTAATTATTGGGGTTCTTTGATATGCCAAATCTAACCGTGATTTTAGATTTTTAATTTTGGGTCCTGTTTTTTAAATTTGTCTACATTAAGGTCCAAAGGGTCCAAAATTAAACTTAGTTTGATTTTAACAAAATTTGAATTCTTCGGATACTTTGATATGCTGAATCTAAACATGTGTTTAGATTTTTGATTATGGGACCAGTTTTCAAGTTTGTCCAAGTTGGGGTCCAAAATTAAACTTTGTTTGATTTCAACAAAAATTGAATATATGGGGTTCTTTGATATGCTGAATCTAACCATGTATTTTGATTTTGGACATTGGACCATAATAGGTAAATTAAAAAAATTGAAGTTCTTAGACCACATTCTTTCTGTGTCAGAAACCTATGCTGTGTCAAATATTTAATCACAATCCAAATTCAGAGCTGTATCAAGCTTGAATGTTGTGTCCATACTTGCCCCAACTGTTCAGGGTTCGACCTCTGCGGTCGTATCAAGCTGCGCCCAGCGAAGCATTTTATTTTATTTATTTTAAAATATAGGTATTTTGTGATTATTCCGAGTCGAGTCTTATAATGAAGGTATGATATTATGCTGGTACATTGCATTGCTAACATGAATTACAAACTGAGATTTTCTTACACTTCAATTTCTGCGTTGTCTGACAGCGTTCAGCTTATGCAATACATGGATTAATTTTGCATCTTGCATCATCGTTTTCTGTATTCTTCTTGTAAATCTGCAAATGTTTGAAAATGGTTTAATGACAGTATTTTTACCAAATTTGAACAAATCCTTCTACTGGACGAGATGTTGTACACCTGCTATTTTAGTTTTTGATCTGAGTGATTTTGAGGGATTTCTCACTTCAAAACATCACCTTAACCATTTCTGTTTATATTATTTGGGGACAGCAGATGGGACTTTCTTGGCTTTAAGACTCACTTGCTTTTTAGATGAAAGTAATTTTTATACGACCGCAAAAAAAATTTTGTGGTCGTATATTGGTATGACGTTGGTGTCGTCGGCGTCGTCCAAAGACACATTGGTTTTCGCACTCTAACTTTAGTTTAAGTCAATGGATCTCTATGAAATTTTACCACAAGGTTCAATACCACAAAAGGAAGGTTGGGATTGATTTTGGGGGTTATGGTACCAACAGTAAAGGAATTAGGGGCCAAAAATAAGCATTTTTGTAACTTCCAGACATAACTTGTGTTTAAGTGTATGGATCTCTCTGACATTGTACCACAATGTTCCATATCACAAAAGGAATGCTGAGATTGAATTTTGGGGTAATTGACTCAAAATTTTAGGAATTAGGGGCAAAAAAAGGGGCAAAAAACAAGCATTTTTCTAGTTTCATGACAATAACTTGTGTGTAAGTGTATGGATCTTTCTGAAATTGTACTACAAGGTTCCATATCACAAAGGGAAAGCTGGAATTGAGTTTGGGGGTAATTGCCGATACGTTTAGGAATTGGGGGCCAAAAATAAGCATTTTTCTAGTTTCCAGACAATAACTTGTGTTCAAGTGTATGGATCTCTCTGAAATTGTACTGTAAGGTACCATACCACAAAGGGAAGGCTGGGATTGATGATGGGGGTAATTGCCTCAATATTTTAGGAATTAGGTGTCAAAAAGGGGCAAAAAACAAGCATTTTTCTAGTTTCAGGACAATAACTTGTGTGTAAGTGTATGGATCTTTCTGAAATTGTACTACAAGGTTCCATATCACAAAGGGAAAGCTGGGTTTGAGTTTGGGGGTAAGTGCCCTAAATGTTTAGGAATTTGGGGCCAAAAAGGGGCCAAAAAACACATTTTTCTAGTTTCCAGACAATAACTTGTGTTCAAGTGTATGGATCTCTCTGAAATTGTACTGCAAGGTACCATACCACAAAGGGAAGGCTGGGATTGAGTTTGGGGGTGATGAATCATAAGGGGGTTCAAAAAATTTGGGGGGGGGATTTTTTTTTTTCCTTTTTTTTTTCTTTTAAAATTTTCCATTTTAAGTTGGTTATTTCTGATTTATATTTAAAAGCAAATAATAATGATATGGTAGGAGATACACACCAAACAGGATGTGTAAATTATTATATAATAAGTATTGTGCAATAGCAAGAAATTTTCAATTGCACAGTAATGCACAATAGCAAGAAATCTTCAATTGCACAGTATTGCGCAATAGCAAGAAATCTTCAATTGCACAGTATTGCCCAATAGCAAGAAATATCCAATAGCACAATATTGCGCAATAGCAAGAAATTGTCAATTGTACAGTATTGCGCAATAGCAAGAAATATTTAATTGCACAGTATTGTGCAAAAGAAGATACTTCGTATAAATTGCTTATTTCTTGACCAATTTCAATGGGGTTTAATCTTGAATTCTTGGGGTTCTTTAATATGCTGAATCTAACCGTGTATTTAGTTTTTGGATTTTGGGCCCCGTTTTTAAATTGGTCCACATTGAGGTCCAAAGGGTCCAAAATTAAACTTTGTTTGATTTCATCAAAAATTAAATTATTGGGGTTCTTTGATATGCCGAATCTAACCGTGTATTTAGATTCTTAATTTTTGGTTCCATTTTCAAATTGGTCTTCATTAAGGTCCAAAGGGTCCAAAATTAAACTTAGTTTGATTTTAACAAAAATTGAATTCTTAGGGTTCTTTGATATGCTGAATCTACACATGTATTTAGATTTTTGATTATGGGCCCAGTTTTCAAGTTGGTCCAAATCGGGGTCCAAAATTAAACTTTGTTTGATTTCAACAAAAATTGAATATATGGGGTTCATGATATGCTGAATCTAACCATGTATTTAGATTTTTGATTTTTGGGCCCCGTTATCAACTTTGTCCACATTGAGGTCAAACGGATCCAAAATTAAACTTTGTTTGATTTCATCAAAAATTGAATTCTTGGGGTTCTTTGATATGCTGAATCTAACCATGTATTTAGATTTTGGATATTGGACCATAATAGGTGAATGTCCAATTTAAAATTTTTAAGTTCTTAGACCACATTCATTCTGTGTCAGAAACCTATGCTGTGTCAAATATTTAATCACAATCCAAATGCAAAGCTGTATCAAGCTTGAATGTTGTGTCCATACTTGCCCCAACTGTTCAGGGTTCGACCTCTGCGGTCGTATCAAGCTGCGCCCTGCAGAGCATTTTATTTTTCTAGATGTAGATGTTTACTAGCTTAAATATGGGATGAAATTTTGTGGGAAGAATAACAAGACATGTACAATTGAATTTCAGTATTATACTATATATGGCATCAGTCACATTAAATTCAAGGTGAAACAGTTATAAAATTTATTAAGTTAAAATTTCATTTAATTATAACATAGGAATTGAATTGATGGGTCTCTCCTTATAGTAATACACTAAATATTTATCATATAAATATTTTTCCAGATGTGAACATCCGTATGTTGTCAACCAGCAAGGAGATTTCAGAACAAAAAGGACTTGCAAACTACAACCAACTGTAAACACACCTTTCCCAGGAAAGACAACTTCTATTCCTAGTTCTGTTCCTACTACTGATAAAGGAGATACAAGTATTCCAACCCCTGCAGTTACTGTTAATGGTAAGGTCAAAATATTTTAAAAAGGAACTTTATTTTTTTGTCATGTTCATACAATTTGAAGGTCCCCGAGAAGAACATGTACTTTGGCACATTTTCTGTCTATAATCAAAGAAAAACAAGTAATTTTCGCTAGGGACCACTTTTAAGAATATTCATGTCAGAATGAAGGTTTAATATAAATTAGATATTAATGTATTCTCCTAAATTTGAAGTTTGATGAGCAAGATATTTTCAACATCACATTCAGACATAAAATCTAATTTAAGGTTCATGCACACTAAATTTAATAAAGAGGAGCAGTAGGAGGGGGTGTCATCCTGAATTCCTAAAAAAAATAAAGTATTTTTTCCCCGGATCAACATGTGGCATCATTAAACTAGTTGTTTTTATACGACCGCAAAAATTGAAAATTTTTTGGTCGTATATTGGTATGACGTTGGCGTCGTCGTCGTCGTCGTCGTCGTCTGGCGTCGTCCGGCGTCGTCCGAAGACACATTGGTTTTCGCACTCTAACTTTAGTTTAAGTGAATGGATCTCCATGAAATTTTACCATAAGGTTCAATACCACGAAAGGAAGGTGGGGATTGATTTTGGGGGTTATGGTACCAACAGTTAAGGAATTAGGGGCCAAAAAGGGGCCAAAAATAAGCATTTTTGTAACTTCCAGACAATAACTTGTGTGTAAGTGTATGGATCTCTCTGACATTGTACCACAAGGTTCCATATCACAAAGGGAAGGCTGTAATTGATTTTGGGGGTAATTGCCTCAAAATTTTAGGAATTAGGGGCCAAAAAAGGGGCAAAAAACAAGCATTTTTCTAGTTTCATGACAATAACTTGTGTGTAAGTGTTTGGATATTTCTGAAATTGTACTACAAGGTTCCATATCACAAAGGGAAAGCTGGAATTGAGTTTGGGGGTAATTGCCCGAAACGTTTAGGAATTGGGGGCCAAAAAGGGGCCAAAAATAAGCATTTTTCTAGTTTCCAGACAATAACTTGTGTTCAAGTGTATGGATCATTCTGAAATTGTACTGCAAGGTACCATACCACAAAGGGAAGGCTGGGATTGAGTTTGGGGGTGATGAATCATAAGGGGGTTCAAAAAATTAGGGGGGGGGATTTTTTTTTTCTTCTTTTTTCTTTTTTTCCTTTTTTTTTTCTTTTAAAATTTTCCATTTTAAGTTGGTTATTTCTGATTAATATTTAAAAGCAAATAGTAATGATATGGTAGGAGATACACACCAAACAGGATGTGTAAATTATTATATAATAAGTATTGTGCAATAGCAAGAAATTTTCAATTGCACAGTATTGCACAATTGCAAGAAATCTTCAATTGCACAGTATTGCGCAATAGCAAGAAATCTTCAATTGCACAGTATTGCGCAATAGCAAGAAATATCCAATAGCACAATATTGCGCAATAGCAAGAAATTGTCAATTGTACAGTATTGCACAATAGCAAGAAATATTCAATTGCACAGTATTGTGCAAAAGAAGATACTTCGTATAAATTGCTTATTTCTTGATCAATTTCAATGGGGTTTTATTCTTGAATTCTTGGGGTTCTTTAATATGCTGAATCTAACCGTGTATTAAGTTTTTGGATTTTGGGCCCCGTTTTTAAATTGGTCCACATTGAGGTCCAAAGGGTCCAAAATTTAACTTTGTTTGATTTCATCAAAAATTGAATTATTGGGGTTCTTTGATATGCCAAATCTAACCGTGTATTTAGATTCTTAATTTTTGGTTCCGTTTTCAAATTGGTCTACATTAAGGTCAAAAGGGTCCAAAATTAAACTTAGTTTGATTTTAACAAAAATTGAATTTTTAGGGTACTTTGATATGCTGAATCTAAACATGTATTTAGATTTTTGATAATGGGCCCAGTTTTCAAGTTGGTCCAAATCGGGGTCCAAAATTAAACTTTGTTTGATTTCAACAAAAATTGAATATATGGGGTTCTTTGATATGCTGAATCTAACCATGTATTTAGATTTTTGATTTTTGGGCCCCGTTATCAACTTTGTCCACATTGAGGTCATAAGGGTCCAAAATTAAACTTTGTTTGATTTCATCAAAAATTGAATTATTGGGGTTCTTTGATATGCTGATCTAACCATGTATTTAGATTTTTTATTTGTGGACCCGCTATCAAATTGGTTCATATTGAGGTCAAAAGGGTCCAAAATTAAACTTTGTTTGATTTCATCAAAAATTGAATTATTGGGGTTCTTTGATATTCCAAATCTAACCGTGTATTTAGATTTTTAATTTTGGGTCCCGTTTTTAAATTGGTCTACATTAAGGTCCAAAGGGTCCAAAATTAAACTTAGTTTGATTTTAACAAAAATTGAATTCTTGGGGTTCTTTGATAAGCTGAATCTAAACATGTGTTTAGATTTTTGATTATGGGCCCAGTTTTCAAGTTGGTCCAAGTTGGGGTCCAAAATTAAACTTTGTTTGATTTCAACAAAAATTGAATATATGGGGTTCTTTGATATGCTGAATCTAAACATGTATTTAGATTTTAGATTTTTGGCCCAGTTTTCAAGTTGGTCCAAATTGGGGTCCAAAATTAAACTTTGTTTGATTTCAACAAAAATTGAATATATGGGGTTCTTTGATATGCTGAATCTTACCATGTATTTAGATTTTTTATTTTGTGGGCCTGCTATCAAATTGGTTCATATTGAGGTCAAAAGGGTCCAAAATTAAACTTTGTTTGATTTCATCAAAAATTGAATTATTGGGGTTCTTTGATATGCCAAATCTAACCATGTTTTTAGATTTTTAATTTTGGGTCCCGTTTTTTAAATTGGTCTACATTAAGGTCCAAAGGGTCCAAAATTAAACTTAGTTTGATTTTAACAAAAATTGAATTCTTGGGGTACTTTGATATGCTGAATCTAAACATGTGTTTAGATTTTTGATTATGGGACCAGTTTTCAAGTTTGTCCAAGTTGGGGTCCAAAATTAAACTTTGTTTGATTTCAACAAAAATTGAATATATGGGGTTCTTTGATATGCTGAATCTAACCATGTATTTTGATTTTGGACATTGGACCATAATAGGTAAATTAAAAAAAAATTGAAGTTCTTAGACCACATTCTTTCTGTGTCAGAAACCTATGCTGTGTCAAATATTTAATCACAATCCAAATTCAGAGCTGTATCAAGCTTGAATGTTGTGTCCATACTTGCCCCAACTGTTCAGGGTTCGACCTCTGCGGTCGTATCAAGCTGCGCCCAGCGAAGCATTTTATTAAAGATCTTAACCCCAGCCCCCTGTTATTTTATATTGATTGATTGATTGATTTTTGGTGTTTTAATGCCACTTTCAGCACTATTGGCTATTTTGTGGCTGACACTTTATATTTGGTGACGGAAGCAGGAGTCTCCGGAGATAACCAAGTCCTTTGACAAGAAAACTGACAATCCTAGTCAATTAAGATTAGAGTCGAAGGTACCTGCCATGTTGACAGGCTAGTGATACAGTAGTTGAACTACTTTGACCACTCTGCCACCTAGACCCCAGTTTTACCTTGACCAGAGAACTAAAAATGGTATATTATAAAAGAAAATCTGAACATGCTATAAGAATCAGTACTTGAAAAGCTCTTATTTTCATTTTAACAGTAAAAAAGAAAACAAAAACATATGTGCCAACCAATCAATTAAACAATTTGCTATGCATGCAGCATGTGCAGCTTCTGAAAAGAAGCAAAAAGTCATGCCATCCTATTCTGTAATAATGGTAGTTGTTCTTCTGAACAGGTATCATAAACAGTTCATGTATTTCAAAAGTATCTTGTTTAGATATGACAGAGTTTTAAGTAATTTTATTTTCAAGATAATATTGCATTCTCCGTTTTTTTTTATAAAGCTCAAATTTAAAAAATGTATTAAACAGTCAGAATAAGGAATCCATTCAAGATGGTAGTTCAAATGGATTTTAACCTGGATGCTCATTTCAACAGTTTCATACTTTTGTTTAATGAATTGGTTTAAATTTTCAGATACATCAACTAACAGTCCTCCAGGGAAGGAAGCCAGTAGGTGAGTTTACTAAAAAGATAAATGTAAGTCATAAGGAATAGGTCACTGAAATTATTCAACTAAAATTAAATCTGGGTGACACAAAACTTGTCATTGGCATTTTTTTTTCAATTAGTAATGAATTCATATACAGTGATGAAGTAATTTTTTTATGAATTTAATTTTCTGATTTCCAAGTTTTATCTGGGTTTTTCTTGTCACCGATTGTGATCTTCTTATTAGATCAAATTTATGTAAGGACATGTTTTCCATATTTTATCTTAATCATGAATTCCTGAAAATTAATCACACTGCATTAAACTCTTTAATTGAATTCATTGGTTGTTATATATATCCATTAAGAGTTTCAAACTTGAGTGAACACACTTTACAACCGACCCTAATAATTTTGTTTAAAATCCGTATGACAGGATCCTGCACCTATATATAGCACCAGGTAGAATTTTTTTTATTTCTACACTTAGTCTAATTGAATGAAATAAGTTTTTATTGTTTCAGTTTAATAAATATTATAAAGAAATTAACATAATTAATGATGAATTTTAAAAATAAAGTGATTTGATATCATTGCCAATGAGACAATAATCAACCAAAGACCAGAGGACAATGACGTAAACAAACAAAGGGCACTGTAGGCCTTTAGGTGTCAGGACCCGTATGCATAAAACCACTTAAGTTAAGATATCTATTCGTAATACTAAGCACTGTAGGCATTTTGGTGTCAGGGCCTGTATGCATCAAACCACTTAAGTTAAGATATCCATTCGTAATACTAAGCACTGTAGGCCTTTAGGTGTCTGGGCCTGTATGCATAAAACCACTTAAGTTAAGATATCCATTTGTAATACTAAGCACTGTAGGCCTTTAGATGTCAGGGCCCTTATGCATAAAACCACTTAAGTTAAGATATCTATTCGTAATACTAAGCACTGTAGGCCTTTTGGTGTCAGGGCCCGTATGCATAAAACCACTTAAGTTAAGATATCTTTTTCGTAATACTAAGCACTGTAGGCCTTTAGGTGTCAGGGCCTGTATGCATAAAACTACTTAAGATAAGATATCTATTCGTAATACTAAGCACTGTAGGCCTTTAGGTGTCATGCAGGGCCCGTATGCATAAAACCACTTAAGTTAAGATATCTATTCGTAATACTAAACACTGTAGGCCTTTAGGTGTCAGGACCTGTATGCATAAAACCACTGAAGTTAAGATATCTATTCGTAATACTAAGCACTGTAGGCATTTTGGTGTCAGGGCCTGTATGCATAAAACCACTTGAGTTAAGATATCTATTCGTAATACTCAGCACTGTAGGCCTTTAGGTGTCAGGACCTGTATGCATAAAACCACTAAAGTTAAGATATCTATTCGTAATACTAAGCACTGTAGTCATTTTGGTGTCAGGGCCTGTATGCATAAAACCATTTAAGTTAAGATATCCATTCATAATACTAAGCACTGTAGGCATTTTGGTGTCAGGGCCTGTATGCATAAAACCACTTAGATTAAGATATCCATTCGTAATACTAAGCACTGTAGGCCTTAAGGTGTCTGGGCCTGTATGCATAAAACCACTTAAGTTAAGATATCCATTTGTAATACTAAGCACTGTAGGCCTTTGGGTGTCAGGGCCCGTATGCATAAAACCACTTAAGTTAAGATATCTATTTGTAATACTAAGCACTGTAGGCCTTTAGGTGTCAGGGCCCGTATGCATAAAACCACTTAAGATAAGATATCTATTCGTAATACTAAGCACTGTAGGCCTTTAGGTGTCATGCAGGGCCCATATGCATAAAACCACTTAAGTTAAGATATCTATTTGTAATACTAAGCACTGTAGGCCTTTAGGTGTCAGGGCCTGTATGCATAAAACCACTTAAGTTAAGATATCTATTCGTAATACTAAGCACTGTAGGCATTTTGGTGTCAGGGCCTGTATGCATAAAACCATTTAAGTTAAGATATCCATTCGTAATACTAAGCACTGTAGACATTTTGGTGTCAGAGCCTGTATGCATAAAACCACTTAGATTAAGATATCCATTCGTAATACTAAGCACTGTAGACCTTAGGTGTCTGGGCCTGTATGCATAAAACCACTTAAGTTAAGATATCCATTTGTAATACTAAGCACTGTAGGCCTTTGGGTGTCATGCAGGGCCGGTATGCATAAAACCACTTAAGTTAAGATATCTATTCGTAATACTTAGCACTGTAGGCCTTTAGGTGTCAGGGCCTGTATGCATAAAACCACTTAATTTAAGATATCTATTCGTAATACTAAGCACTGTAGGCATTTTGGTGTCAGGGCCTGTATGCATAAAACCACTTAAGTTAAGATATCCATTCGTAATACTAAGCACTGTAGGCATTTTGGTGTCAGGGCCTGTATGCATAAAACCACTTAAGTTAAGATATCCATTCGTAATACTAAGCACTGTAGGCATTTTGGTGTCAGAGCCTGTATGCATAAAACCACTTAGATTAAGATATCCATTCGTAATACTAAGCACTGTAGGCCTTTAGGTGTGAGGGCCTGTATGCATAAAACCACTTAAGTTAAGATATCCATTTGTTATACTAAGCACTGTAGGCCTTTAGGTGTCAGGGCCCGTATGCATAAAACCACTTAAGTTAAGATATCTATTCGTAATACTAAGCACTGTAGGCCTTTTGGTGTCAGGGCCCGTATGCATAAAACCACTTAAGTTAAGATATCTATTCGTAATACTAAGCACTGTAGGCCTTTAGGTGTCAGGGCCCGTATGCATAAAACCACTTAAGTTAAGATATCTATTCGTAATACTAAGCACTGTAGGCCTTTTGGTGTCAGGGCCCGTATGCATAAAACTACTTAAGATAAGATATCTATTCGTAATTCTAAGCACTGTAGGCCTTTAGGTGTCATGCAGGGCCCGTATGCATAAAACCACTTAAGTTCAGATATCCATTCGTAATACTAAGCACTGTAGGCCTTAAGGTGTCAGGGCCTGTATGCAGAAAACCACTTAAGTTAAGATATCCATTCGTAATACTAAGCACTGTAGGCCTTTAGGTGTCAGGGCCTGTATGCATAAAACCACTTAAGTTAAGATATCCATTCGTAATACTAAGCACTGTAGGCCTTTAGGTGTCAGGGCCTGTTTGCATAAAACCACTTAAGTTAAGATATCCATTTGTAATACTAATTTATCGTGGGACATGTAGAAAAATCTGTCTGTTTGGAACAAATCTTAATTTAAGTAGCTTTATGCATACGGACCCAGACCACCAATTCAAAATCCCTATCTATTCAACCAAATTTTGCAATTTTCACAGCTTTCTTATTATTTTACCTTGAGATTAACTTCATAGAAACCAGGTATATCCTGAATTGTACATGTATCACCTTTCTACATGCTAATTTCCAACCCATGTTTAAAGACTTCTAAGAAAGAACTGCCTTTCGGAAGACAAGTGCTACTAAAAATAACCACTGGTTTTCTGGAAATCTTAAATTAGTATACTATGGAGCGCATTAATCCTCAATTTTTAATGCAAACTCATAGACAAGTAAATTTTGGCTCAAAATGGTCTAAATATATTTCTCTTTCACCAAAAGTTCATTTCTGCAAATTTGTTGGTTAGTTTAAGTAAACAATGACATCAAAAGCACTATGTTGAGTCAGAGTAGGGCTACTTTTACATAGGTTCTAAATTGGAGGGAGTTAATTGGTGGTCTGACACCTAAAACAATGAGCAGAACCCATAACAAATAGTAAGCTATAAAAGAAACTGCAAAATGTAAAACAAATCAAAAGAGAAAACCAACATGCTGAGTTGTCCTTAAAACAACATACAGAAAACAAATATGGCAAACAGCAACCAACAACAACCATGTAAATGACAAAGTACATTTACCCATGTTTTACAAAGTACATTTACCCATGTGTTACAAAGTACATTTACCCATGTTTTACAAAGTACATTTACCTACATTTACCCATGTTTTACAAAGTACATTTACCCATGTGTTACAAAGTACATTTACCAAGGTTTTACAAAGTACATTTACCCATGTTTTACAAATTACATTTACCAAGGTTTTACAAAGTATATTTACCCATGCTTTATACTGAATACATTGTTGTATATCTGGTTTTGAACAGAATTTGTATTTATTTCTCATTTGCAGTCATCAATGTAGTTTTAATATGACAATTAAACTGATAATACTAAAGTAAAATAGTCCATAGAATTAAGTGATTGTAATTTTTAATTAAAATTTAAGCAGTTTTGTTTTGGGAATGAAACTTTACAAGGTACCCCTTGATAACAATGCTACATCATGGACCATCTATAAAAAAGAGGGTACAGGAAATGTCATGTCTCCTCCCATTTTAAATGAAATGATAAAAAACATTGATGTATTTATGATTTTGGTAATATAAATTAAAATGTTCATTAATCAAGTACTTTTAAGCTTATATCTTAATTGTTTGCTGTAATTAGGACGTTCTTTGCTAAAATTTATTGAAAAAATGCATTCCCTTTTTACAAAATATAATATCTTTTTATGAGATAATAAACATGAAAAATAGTACACTGAATATCTACACCTGCCCATTAAGACTTTATTTTTTTTTAAATCTGGTTTATTCTAGATTTTTGAATTAAGAGAAAATAAAATGAACTACATACTGACCTCCAGACACACTCTTCAAGTATATATACAACCTTGCATGATCTGCTTTGTCAGGATTTGAAATAATGATACAGATAGGTTGTATGATGTGATGTAATTTGTAATTCTTTATTAACCTTTAGTGTCTATGATAATTTATTGCAGTGATGAGGAGTTGATACTCGGCGTTGCAGTGAGTGGATTCATTGTGGCAACAGTCATAACGGGAGTTATCTATAAAGTGTTCAGAAATAGGAGGGAAGGTATAGAATATATTTCATTATAGTAAAGATACTGATGACAAATCCTAAATGTGTTTTGAAATACAATTTACATATTTTTGCATATTTTGAATTTGAAAATCTATACTGATTATAATTTCAGGAATTTTTGTTCTTTTATGTTTTATTGTTATAAAAACATAATTATTAAGAATAAGAACAGATTAAAAATATTTCTTAACATTAGAAAGTCCTATTTTGATTGATTTTTTCATGATCCTGCGAAAAGGCTTTAAGGGTATGAAGATCTACATAATGTTTGTCTGCATGTATGACACAGAATTGGTATTCAACCGATTACTTGGTGTAGCTTTTAACAAAATTAATGGACATATTAGAATATTGTCTAAAGGAAATTCATTATTTTAACATTTGCCTTTCTAAGAGTTATATCCCTTGACTATGTTGACAATTGTGTGTGCATGTCTAAAAACCATTTGATATATCATAACATTTGAAGGATACGGTTTTGATTTTAGAGTTCTGTGCCTTTTTAATTCAGAATAAAGTTGGGTTTAGGCTTCTGGTCAGTATCTTGAGTATTGGTCCCCATTATTGGATATTTTAACATAATGCTGGAAACATCTAAAAACTGGTAAAAAAAAAGTAAGAAGATATCATAGAATTGATTCTATGAACTATTTTACTTTAGTATTATCGGTTTAATTGTCAGATTTTAAACTTCATTGACTATTGCATAAGTGAAATAAATACACGTTCAATTCAAACCTGATATAACCAGGAAAAAAACATGGGTAATAATTATCATAAGTTCAAGAAAGGGTGGACAACACCATGACCAAAAGGTGAAAATTAAAAAAACAACAGAACATGAAATAAAATAATCTGAAAAATAAAGATTGAGCTGCCCCTCCATAGCAGAAATAAACTCAGGTGCCGGAGAAGTGTCAGTAGTTATTGTTTCACTAGTCTATGGTATGTGGCATTCATTAATACTGTGGATTCATTTATTTTCGTGGGTATCAATTTTCGTGGATAGAGAAAAAAAGACGTTTCGTGGTATACGTAAATTCGTGGATCGCTGGTTACAAAAAAAAAAAAAAAAATCAGATACGTAATTCATTGATTTCTTTTTGATTTAGATCATATAACCTCCTTGGTTTGATCAATAATAAAACAAACAAAAAAGAAGGAATTCATTGAAAAAGTTTTGAATTGTCAAAATCCTCGCTTGGTCATTCTAGGTTAAAGTGTTCATTGAAAACTTCTATTACAATAATGGACGGAGACAACTAATTATTTGTTTGTTTTACAATTTATAAATTGTTGTCGGAATTTTATAAGGCGTTCAAAACTCTATGATTGAAAGCTCATTTCCCTAATCACGATATAATAAACAGTCATATAATTAGTAAAAGGTGTGAAAATAAATGTTCCTGTCATAAACAATATTACCTACGGGCAATATCCCCGTACTTAATCCTATTGAGTTTTAATCACCAGTAAACCAAACTATGACACGGTAATTAACAACTTGCAGTTATTTTCCATGAACAGTTTTAATCAATTTTAAAAAGTAAATTATCAGTGATATTCGATATATTTATTATTGATTTAATCAAAGTACTTGTATCTTCTTTCATTAAAAACACGTGTTATGTTACAATGTTTATCGCTAATCAACACTATACTAGAACTGCATAACATAACCGGAAATAAACATCCAACTCCATACACATTTCTCGGGATTATTCTTCGTTGAATTCTTAAATTCGTGGTTCGCTGTGACCCACGAAACCCACGAAAATTGGTATACCACGAATAAAAATGAATCCACAGTAAGTCATTTACAAGGATTCAATAGCAGCTAAGATAAAGTAAACATATCAAAGGTAAAATTAAAATTTGACATATATCCAGTTACATCAAAATATGGAGATGTGGTATGATTGCCAATGAGAAATATCCACCAGAGTTCAAATGATGTGATGGTAGGCAACTATAGGTCATTTTTGTCCATGAAGACCATTATGTTGACTGATTTAGTCCACAAAATATTTTTTATATAGTTAAAACGATGACTTCATAGTTTTTTATTCGCCTTTCAAAGATGGGATATATTATGGTATGCTAATGTCCGTCCGTCCGTCCATTTTTTAATTTTTGGCTGTGTAGTTCCAGAATTACACAACATTGCACCTTAGATTTTTCACAAATCACGCTTTAACTCCAGTATTCCTGATTTGATTTCCTTGTACCATAAGTAGAAGAAACCCATAGTAATAAAGATATTGAAAAAAAATGGGAAGAGGAATGGAGAAATACATGTTTCTTCAGTCATCATAGTAACAAAAGTGCAGGTGTCAGTATTATGTTTAAAAAAGGTCTAGATTTTGAAGTGCATAATTCTATTATTGATATAGATGGTCGTTATATTATTTTAGATTTATCCTTGTTAAGTCAACGTATTACTTTCGATTGTTTGTATGGATTTAAGACTGATGAACCTTCATTTTTTAATGACATATATAAGAAAATGGCAACATTTTCAAATACTAGCTTTTTATTATGTGGGGACTGGAATGTTGTACAAGATATAAACATAGACACTTACAATATTATTCATAATAGAAACCCAAACTCACGAAAAAAGATTGAAGAAATAGTAGAAAGTCTTGAGTTATTGGATCCTTGGCGGACCTGTTATCCAAATGAAAGAAAATATACATGGCGTCAATGCTCACCCATACAACAAAGTCGGCTTGATTTTTTTCTAGTCACAGAGGATCTGTTTTCACTCATGAAAAATACTAACATTATTCCTGGGTATAAGACAGATCATTCTGCTATAATTTTCACCTTTTCTGCCAGTTTAGCACAGCGGGGAAAGGGATATTGGAAATTTAACTCCCAACTGTTACGAGATTTAGACTATATCAAAAAAGATAAAACATGTATAAATGAGAGTATTTTAGAATATTATGAATCAGGCAACATAGATGATCCGTTAAATGTTAAACTCTCATGCAATGATCAAGTATTTTTTGAGTTGTTAAAAATGAAAATTAGATCTTTGTCTATTGGTTATAGTATTCAAAAAGCAAGAGAGGAAAAAGCTACAACACTTTTACTTGAAAATCACATTCAAAATTTGGAAAATCGTATGAACATATCTCCTGATGGTCAAATTCATGCAGCTTTAAACCAGAAAAGTTAGAATTAGAAAACATAAGGGAAAGAAAAATTGAAGGTGTTTTTTTAAGATCCCACGCTAACTGGCAAGAGAACGGGGAAAAGTGTTCAGAGTTCTTTTGTAAATTGGAAAAGAAAAATTTTATTAAAAAAACGATAACTGAGCTCATAGATGAAAAAGGGAAACATATATCAAATCAATCTAGAGTTTTACAAGCAGAAATGAATTTTTTTAAAACATTGTACTCAAGTAAAAATCTGGAATGTGATGATGAATCCTTTTTCAAGCACAATGTTAAACTCACAGAAGACCAGAAGGATTTGTGTGAGGGTAATATTTCTTTTAAAGAATTTGCAGAATCACTAAAATCTATGTCAAATGGAAAGAGTCCAGGCTCAGATGGGTATACTGTAGAATTTTACAAAGTCTTTTGGAGAGATATTGGACCTTTTCTTTTTAGATTGTTATATTTTGGCTATGAAAAGGGGGAATTTTCAAAATTTCAGTATCAAAGTGTCATTACATGTATTCCAAAAGAAGATAAAGATAGACGTCATTTAGCTAATTGGCGCCCAATTAGCCTTATGAATACTGACACGAAGATTGCTTCTGCTGTCATTGCTAATAGAATAAAACCTGTTTTACCATCTATTATCAGTGACTGTCAGAAAGGCTTTATAAAGGATAGATTTATGGGTGAGAATACGCGTCTATTGTATGATTTGATGCACTATTTAGAAAAACATAACAAAACTGGTCTTTTACTATTAGTAGATTTTGAAAAGGCTTTTGACTCTATCGAATGGTCTTTTTTGAAAAAAGCATTGAAGAGTTTCAATTTTGGACCTTCTATATGCAGATGGTTTGAAGTATTTTATTTAAAAGCATCAAGTTGTGTTATAAATAATGGTCATCTTTCAAGCTTCTTTAATTTGGAGAGAGGCTGTAGACAAGGAGACCCCCTCTCCCCTGACCGTTTTATTATAGGTGTTGAGTTACTTTCTATGAAAATAAGGTCAAACCCCAAAATAAAGGGAACTTTTGTTCATGAAAATGAATCCCTTTTGAGTCAATATGCTGATGACACTTTCCTTGTTTTAGATGGAACTGAAACATCATTGAGGGAGACTTTGAATTGTTTTGACTCTTTCCAAAAATTATCTGGGTTAAAAATTAATTCTTCTAAAACTAAGGGGACGACCATTTGATATTCTGGGGGGGGCCAGGAGGATTTGTTTTGGATCGGTTATTTATTTTTGTAAACTAAGAGGACAGATTATCTATTTTCTGCACTATTGAAGCAAGATTTTTCATTTTCATTAAAGCAAGGGACTGATTATTTATTTTCACAACTATATTTATAATATTCGAAAACATACAATTTTAAAATTATTTGTTTATTATAAACAAGTGTGGACACAGATGAATGTGGATAGTATGTTTGGATGTTTGACAGTGTTTTATATGACAAAAGGAGTTCTATATTTTTCCTATATGGTGTTATTAACTGTGTTGCCCGATGACAACCAACCTGAGCATGAGGAGTGTTGTTTATTTAATATTTAGATTTTATGTTCAAGAGGGCATGGAAGAGACACTAATTGCATTAATGACCAAATGATTATGATAGAATATTTTCCACATCTTTGATTTTGGATAAATTTTGTAGCTAGGAGAGCAACACATAATAGGTTCATTTTTTCATGTGATTTTTTTTTAAATGGGAGATGATATCTGAGAACATGATATCAGGAGGCTGTAATTCAGTGGTTGTCGTTTGTCTATGAGTTACATAATATTTGTTTTTCGTTTATTTTGTGTACATAAA